TAGCCTTAGAGTAAACCTTCATATACCTTCTGTGCCCTCAACCCTAAACCCAAACCTTTAAACCCTAAACCCTACACCCTAACCTTTACACCCTAAACCCCTAAACCCTAAACCCTAAACCCCTAAACCCTAAACCCTAAACCATAAACCCTAAACCCTAAACCCTAAACCCTAAACCCTAAACCCAAAGCCTCTGTGGAACCCCTGATCCCCCTAAACTCCATGCAGAGCCCGAGCCGCCTCGCAGCACGCGCCTCCTTGACCTAAACAGCACTGGAGAGTAAGAAAGATTTAGGGCAAATTTAGGGCTTCGGGTTTAGGGTTTGGGGGTTTGGAGGGTTTAGGGGTTTTGGGGTTTAGGGTTTAGGGGTTAGGGGTGCAGGGTTAGGGTTTAGGGGTTTAGGATCTAGGGGGTTTAAGGTTTTGGAGTCAGAGTTTAGGGTTTAGGGGTTTAGGGTTTAGGGGTTGAGGGTTGAGGGGTTCACGAGTTTAGGGCGAGTTTAGGGTGTGAGGATTGGATTGGGTGTTCGAAGGCTTCCCACCTTTTGTTTTAAGAGTTTGAAGTTTGGGGCTTAGTGCTTCGGACGCCCCAAGCTGTTTTCTTCTTGAGGCGTGGCTTGTGGGGTTGAGCGGTCCTGGCCGTTTAGGGGTTCAGGGCTTCAGGGGTTTAGGGAATTCGGGGTTGAGGGTTTTAGCAGTTTAGGGGTTTACGGTCTTTGGGTTGAGGGGTTTATTGGTTCGACCCTAAACCCAAAACACTAAAATTTCTCTAAAAGGCCCGAACCCTAGAACCCTAAACCCCCAAAACCTCAGACCCTAGTACCGCAAACGAGGAAACCCTAAAGTGTTGACCCAATAGCCCCCAGACATCTAATCCCAAACCCCAAACCCCAAACCCTGAACCCTAAACCCCGTCGGGCGCTCTGGCGCCAAGTTGAGAGAGGCTCCTGTCCATCAGCTCCCGTGGCATCCTTGATCTTCTTCAAGAAGTTCCCGACAGCCGCGTCCATTCCCTCCCCTGCCTTCAAGGATGCAGTGCCCCCAAAACGACGTCGGTGTCGACGCGGAAGCCAGGGCCATGTCAAGGAGAGCCACATCCTCCAAAGGAGACCTGGGTCCTTTTCACATTGGGAGGCATCCCTGAGGCGGGTCACATTGGAACCCTAAACCCTAAACCCTAAACCCTCTTCTCTCATTCCTCGGAATCCTCATCTCCTGGAAGCCGATCCTCTCGCAAATTTATGGTTTAGGATTCCCTGGCCGCGGCCACATTGCGCAGCTGCCTCTGAGTGTCTGGTCCATAAGACTAGAAAAGCGACAGCACGCGGTACCTTTCTACCACAGTTTGCAAACCTTCGACCCTAAACCCAAAGCTCAACTCTAAACCCGAAACCTAAAACCCAAAACTCTAAACCCGAAACCCAAAACTCAACTCTAAACCCGAAACCCAAAACCCCAAACTCTAAACCCGAAACCCAAAACTCAACTCTAAACCCGAAACCCGAAACTCAACTCTAAACCCGAGACCCAAAACTCAACTCTAAAACCCGAAACCCAAAACCCTAAACTCTAAAACCCCGAAATTTCAATCCGTAAACCCCAAAAACTTCAGACCTCGGGGCCCCAAACGCGGAAACCCCAAACCTAAAAACCTCCCAGACACCGAATCCCAAGCCCTAAACCCTAAA